ACATTTATCATTCTAACACAAGAAGACAGACACAAAAGGAAAAATGAAAGAAAGAAAGACATTTTTTCTTCAAAGAAAACATCAGAGCAGCACGTTTTCTTAAAGCTCTGCAGTTAACTTTCCTGTTTGTCTAAGCAGAACAAGAGCTACTAGAAAGCCTTTATTATGCCTATCACCAAGGAAAAGAGTGTGTATGTATTGTGACAGCTGGTAGAGCCAAGCTAGGAGTGCTACAGGCAAGTCGAGCTTTTGTAGGGCTAGCATGACATAGGATCTGGGGGATGTGGATGTAGCGTAGCAGGGCCGCCGAGGGCCAAACTCCAACTGAGAAATAACTGTACTTGCAATTCAAGTCAGCTGGAGCACTGACAAGATTTAAAGTGGGTCAGAGCAGAAGTGTGTGTTTGTGTGTGTGTGTGTGTGTGTGTGTGTGTGTGTGTGTGTTTGTGTGTGTGTGTGTGTGTAAATCCATCTGTTTTTCAGTCAGTGTTTGTATGTCAGTGCATTTCTAACGCTCTGTGTTAACAATTATACTTTGCATTGTTGTCTGTGAAAACTGACGATACTTAATCGGTCAAATTTCTCACATAGCTGTTTACCTAAGATCATGGAAACTTTCTCATTGCTAAGGCATAGACTCTTTCTTTTACTGAGCTGCTGTGAGTTCACCCCTGAGTCAAAACAAATCTTCGTAACTGGAATCCCACAAGACAATTTACATTTTCTTTGTTTATCTTTCCTCTTACATCTAACAGGGTGGTTTAAGAATGGAATTTACTAGATCTACACCTAAAATAACTTTCCTACACACCGGGCAGACCTCAAACACAATCCAGACACATCAGTAATAAGTGTCATTTTCTCCAACATCACAAGTCTTGAAGGAGAAAGGCTTTGACTTGCAGCTCGGCAAGGACCAGTTATTCTCTCAGGTTTATGAGAGGATGTCAGGACATTGTAGCTATAATTTATTGTATATTTTGTAATATTGTATTTTTACTTACGTTCTCATAATCAAACTATACTACTGATACAGATTCATGGAGAGGATGAACTCTAATGACTTTGGTGATCCTCTGACTTTGAATCTAGTTACATCATCAGCTTAAAATGTCCGTTTGTCTCAGCTGTAGCAGCAACCAAGTACAACCATAGAGACCTACTGGCATAATTGTGGTTGGGATTCAAATAGAAAAGATCTTAGTGTTTCAACAATGAAGGAGACTGTGTTGGTGGTGGAGTATTGTCTAAGGCAGTGGTTCTCAGCCTGGGTTCTGGGGACCCCCAGAAGTCCTTGAGGGAGAAGGTACCAGTGAGACAATGAAATATGATCCAGGAAGTCCAGTTGGAGTAACAAATTAATGCTTTAAAGGCCTCACCAAAACACTGCACAGCTGTTTGTAATACTCATAGGATTTTACAACTCAATGTTATAGTGAGGAAAGTTATCACAGTGAGACTATTGATAACTGCTGTTGTATCTTTGTTGGGACGATTGCGAGGTAAACAGCAGAAATACAACGTTATAAAATAAGATACCAGAAATGTGTGCCCACATGTGTGGCAGCACCTTAAGGGATGACGTTGCATTGGGTTTCAGCAAAAGTTGAGCCTGGTTCAACTGTGTTGCCACAGCTTGTTGGCACCCACACTGTGGCTCCATTGGCTCCATTCAAATGAATGAGAGGGCTGCATTTTTTTTTTACTGAGGGCTAATCCTGATTGCGACACTAGTATTGTTAGTACTAAATGAAAGTCAAAAGAAAAGGTGGCACATATGTACACATATTATGTTATATTTTACATATTGGTCTCATGTCTAATTCACTTTTACAAAAAAAGGCAGGCTAGTAATCTTATAGGGTTGGACCTTCTTCAGTTCCAACTACTGACATGACATAAGTCTGAAGTGAATCATCCTGTGCCTTTCAGTAAAGTAACAGTATTCATACATGAGCAGGACACTGTGGAAGCAGAAAAAAATATTATACAGCTTTTAAATCTGCTTAATACTTTGCCTTCAGTAGGTGTCTTTCAGGCTGATGCACTCGCATAAACAGCCTCAGACGTGCTTGAAAATTAAACTCCACTCTTCAGCACACCTGCATCCAATTACTCTCAAAGGATCTGATCAATCTTAACTATCAGGGTCTCATCGGTGCTACTGCTCGGTGGAGGATTCTGCCAGGAACCTCCTGTCACACTCAGAGGTGGATTACACACTTTACAGACACAAAAAAGTGTGTGTGTGTGTGTGTGAACCACTCTTAAATTAAAATATATATATATGTTCTAAGGAAGGAAATCATAAGAGATTGATTAGAATATATGGCATCTGTGCATTTAAAGATATCAGAATATTGTTTGTAGACTGACTGAAAATACGACCCATATTTTGTTAATAAGTGTGAAATTGGAAAGTGACTCTGCATCTTCGGCCCATTGGTTTCTTTGGAAAATTCTTATTTTTCAAGCATGAGTCCCCACATGCTTTGATCAAAGTTTGTGATGCATGCATGGTTTTCATTATGATAGATTTCCACTGGCTTTATTATTTATTTGTCTCGCTTAAGCCTAATAGATGTCATAGCTGTCTTGTTGACTTTATTCTTAACAAAGATTCAAGAATAAATTGCAACAACAATGTTAAGTGAAGATGTCTTTCTTGTTTGTATAATGCGCTTGTGGTCATAATCCTTTTCTCCCTCTCCTCTCTGTATTCAGGATTTTTAGCTTTTGTTTCTGCTCACATTCTTTGTAAAATTCCTCCAAAAATACAATACATAACCAGAAAATGAAAACACAGCAGGACCATTTCCCCTCAGCCTTTCTTCACTGAAAACCAAAGCAAAGTAAAGAAGATAAGAAACCTAAACTATAATTTGAATTAATATATGTTGTCATGTCACCAGACATATGTTGGATTGCTGCTATAATGATCTAGCCTTCTCATCTCTATACTGAAAAGGGACAGGATCTGATAAAGTCTGCCAATTGTATTGAAGTTCCTGTTGGTCAGCAAAGAAGCTCATAAATTACTGATAGGTAATAGATTCCTCTTTTAACAGCCATTATTAGATTGTTTTATGTGTTTTATGTCCTAATTACTAGGCCATCAAGACACCCCCTCAGTAATTTTTTTAAAGAACTTTCTTTGTTCCACAGTTCTTTATTAATCAAAAGTCTCTCCCATTTTCACATTGAAAGGTTATTTATGTACACAAAAATCAAAGTTAAATGTGGAAGTTTCTCCTTTATATAAGATTAATTAAATGCCCTTTCTGAATATTGAAATCTTAGGAAATGTCCTGTTTTTTAATTTTCCTTCTGTTATATAATTTTATCACAAGATTAAAATAATTAGGAGAGGAGGAGGATTTTTTTCCAGACTTAGTTCAGGTGTCAGCATCCAACCATTATTAACATATGATAACTGCACTTGAGTAGATTCCCTTTTGCGTTCCACCACCATCAAAACATGTATGTTAGGTTAATTCTCCAGTCAGTGCCTTTAACCAAGGCACTGGCTCAGATCTGGAGTTTGTCGCCACTGCTCCTAGTACTTAGGATAGGTCAAATACATAGAATGGATTTTCCTATGGGGATCAATAAAGGATAACTTAACTAACTTAAGTGTATACAGCCACACTAGAGGCTCTATGAGACTGTACATAAGTACATCATGCTATTTGCTAAATGCTAATACAGCTTAGTAATGGTAAATGGACTGTACTTCTTCTGACCACTCAAAGCGCTTTTACACTACATGCCACATTGGCCCTTTCACACACATTCACACAGTGATGGCAACAGAAATCACTCACACACCAATGACACACGATCAGGAGCAATTTGGGGTTTAGTATCTTGCTCAAGGATATTTCAACATACGGCAAGGAGCCAGGGATTGAACCAACAAGCATTGTTAGCATTATAACATTTGCAAATCAGCCCTAAACATGAACATTTCACTCAAAACCACAAATACAACCTTATCAAAGTCATTAGGATCCGTTCTCTGGGGATCACCAATGTCTGTAGAAAATATTGTGCCAGCCCATCAAGTAGATATTAGATATATTGGGATATTTCACAGAAAATAATGGAAAACTTTGACCTTCTGGTAGCACAAGAGAGAATGACAGAGGATCATCAGAGTCACAAGGGTTCATCCTCTTGGCACCATGGATATTTATACTAAATGTCATTGCAATCCATAATGGATGTTGTGATATTTCAATAAAAGTTTAAAACTGAAAAATCAGAAGATCACCAAAATCAGTAGGATTCACCTTGTAGGCACCATCAGTTTTTGCAAATTTCATCTCAGTTCAAGAGGCACTGGGCCATGAGACATTAGTGTTAACATTAAAGGATGGTCAGGCTGCTGTGGATGACCCATGTGTCCAATAATATGCTTTTATTTAATTGAACCTACAGTGCATTCAGTATTTCACACCTGTGATTTGTCTCAAATAAATTTTTCTTTCTACCTGTCATTTTCTTGAGTATCAGACAATAGATTCACCCACTGGTGAAGAGAATGTGTGTCCAGCATCTCCAATGTTTCTTGTGTGACAAGCCATTTTGTATCATGCACCATCATCACAGGTCCTCTTGTAACCCTGACAGTTAGACCAATGGATTCATAACTTAAATGTGTTATTATCTGTGACTTGCAACTCTACGCGTCTATGAATTTCCAAGAACTAGCAGGAGAGTGATACCATTAAATCCCATCATTATCTTTATCATTATGTGTTGATTTGTGTGCACTTTATGTTGATAAATGGGGAAGGAAAGCCAGCACGGGACTGTATTTTGTCCAGAATGTTGCAGCACAAACTACCTCACTGGTGGTGTTAACAGACAACATATAATTACATGTCTTGTTTGCATAATAATGTTGTTTATGTCATTTTATAACAAATGGTTGGGAGAGTTGCTAGCATGCATCTCTTTTCCAGCACCTCCACCCTGAAATATGTTTGCCTCTTTAGGTTCTTTGTCAACTTCCCATCAGCCAAACAGTACTTCAGCCAGTTCCAGGACATGGAGGACCCAGAGGAGATGGAGCGAAGCAGCCAACTTCGACACCATGCCCGCAGAGTGATGAACGCCATCAATACTGTGGTGGAAAACCTCCATGACCCGGAGAAGGTGTCGTCAGTGCTGGCCCTGGTGGGAAAGGCCCATGCTATCAAACACAAGGTGGAACCCATGTACTTCAAGGTAACATCAAAGTATAATCCACTATCTGATTTAGGGATGTCACGAGAACTGATATTTCGGTACCAAGTTGATGCCAACGTTTGGAAAATGTGACAGTACTAATTTTTCTACGGTACTATAAGTACCATAAGTACTGGGAAATCAATTCTTCCTGACCTGATGGGACACCTCCTGTACAGTCTAATGACTGTCAAACTGCTCTGCAGAGACACACAGAGACAGACGCTCTGGCGCAGAAGTGTAAAGACAAAGTGATCAGCAGTGAACACATCAGTTGGTGTCGTTTCAAGCGTTAGCGTTTTATAGCTGTTGTTAAAATGGAATCGCAGGTGAAACAATCTTAAACATGATTTGTGTTTTTTGGCCAACTTTATAAGCCAACAGAGAAACAGAGAAAGAAATGTTTTTAATAAAAGGAGTATGAGTTTAAGTACATGGGATTTATTGTTTTTTTTTTGTTTGTTTTTTTTACCGTGGTATCGAGGATCGTTAAGTGTCACTGATATTGGTATTGACTACTACATTTCTGGTATCGTGACATGCTCTCTCTAATCTAATGCTAGTATTTTGTAGATTATTAATCCGTGATGTTCAGTTACCTTATGATGAAGTATATAACTTGACCTTAATCACTGTCTGTCAGCCTGCCATGTCTGCTTTGATATGGTATTATTTTATATTTTTCCAGTATTGCCCTCAACAATCCCTTAAGGTACATTCCCACAGGGGTGTTGTTTCACTGGTAGGAGACATGCCTTTTCTCGTTTTGGCCACTTGATTGGTTCAGACTGTGTCTTGAAAGATAATTGTCAAGTGATCTCTTTCCTGTATAAGTACTACAACCGAAGTATTTTCTTGCTTCAGCAGACCCTTGAAATTTTCTTATTACCAAACTAATGTCACAGGAGAATCTAAACTCCAAAAAAGGTCAAACAATCATAATCCTGTTTTGCTCTTATCTGTTTATGTCAAAGAGTGCAACTATTACACTTTTGCACCTGTGTGCATATTGTTATGAAGCCGTATGTCTTGTTTAAACCAAGTCTAGAAATTATACTTTGTTCAGACACAACAAAAATAGTGTATTAAAAGGTTTATGGGCTGATTTCACCCAGAGCTTGTTCAAGTTTTCTTGATCACAGATGTTCTGCATAGTAGAAAAAAGTATAATCTAATGACGCGACAGACAAACTGTATCTACTGTTCATATTAAGCACAATTCAGGAAACAACCACCAACTTCACAAATAACTTACAGTGATACCAAGGTGAAAAGCAGTGTTTGACTTCCCTTTTTGACTGAAGATTTGAAGTCTGTTGCACCTCATCAGTGATGCTGGGTGTGGTTCAGTGTGGTCAGAAGTGTAGCAGCTGTAACCCCTGCAGGAATGATGTCACACTGTACTGACTTACACAGACACTCGCAGAAATCTGAATTTCAACTCTGTGTGTAATAAACATACACAAGTGTAAAGTATGTAGGCTATGCTAATACATAGAAGAACAATAAAATAGCAGCCTGTAGTGGTACAGAGGTACACAAACTATAAGAAAGTATAATGCACAGCAATGATCATGATTTTAGGACTCATGGCAGTTAAAGAAAAAAGTACCACAGAGCAGCCAGTTACAAAAAAATATTCAAGCAGTCGTTATCAAAGTTAATAAATGTTAAAGTCATTTCAGAGCGCCACTGTTGAGCTTACAGTGCTGATTACCTATGGAGGCAGAAAAAGAAGGAATCAGAATAAGTATCATCAAAGATGTTTAAGAACCAGTGTTTAATTTAATTCAGTTCAATTCAATTCCATTTTATTGGTATAGCGCCAATTCATAACAGAAGTTATCTCAGGACACTTTTCAAATAGAGCAGGTCTAGACCGAACTCTTTATAACATTATTTACAGAGACCCAACAGTACCACAGTGAGCAAGCACTTGGTGACGGGGGCAAGGAAAAACTTCCTTTTAAGAGGCAGAAACCTAGGACAGACCCCGGCTCTAGGTGGGTGGTCGTCTGCCTCGACCAGTTGGGGTCAGAGATAGAGAGAGAGAGAGAGAGAGAGAGAGAGAGAGAGAGAGAGAGAGAGAGAGAGAATTTAGATCATATGGTTGCATAATCTTGAATGTGAAACTCCAATATGATTCTCTCTTCATCTGATTGAAGAGGGGAAGCATATGCTTCCACCCTTCAAGTCTTTTGAATGTCTGCAGTTGGTTCATAAATGCAGCTGTGAGGAGAACACATTACTGCCATTTAAGCATCCTTGTACTGGTTTCCGATTGCCTTTAGAATTCATTTTAAGATTGAATTGATCACTTAGTGAATAAGTCATTAAATTGATTAGTTCCACTTTGTATTCCCCGAAATCCCATATGTACAAGGATTAACCTCTTAGGTCATTATTTTGTATTTTTATCACTTCCTGTTATATCATGATGGTGATAAACACAGTCTCATTATTAGTGGTGAAACAATTATTGGGATCAATTGAGAACATTTTTTGAAGTGGTTTATAGTGGTTACAAGTGGTTTGTAACTCAAAATGCCAAAGATTTTAGCTGGTTGAAGCTCTTCCATTGTGAGGTCTTGCTGCTTTCTTCTTTCATATCATTCTAAAAGTTAATATCTTCTAGTCATCTTTGTGACATTATACCGTGTCGTTGTATAGGAGCTCATTAGGACTCCTCCTTTCTCTACACCACCTGTTAACACGTGAGAAAAATTAAACTTAGTTTTCATAACATAGCAGAGTACCATCTCCAAGACAACTGAGCAGGTCCATCCACTAAGAAAGTTCATGAGATGTGGCTGAAAGCTTCACAAACACAGAGTAAATAGATCTTTTGTTGAGAATTAGGAACATGTCCCCAGTTATCACAGACTGTGTACTATAAATGAATAATGTTATGTTTTATTACTGTAGCTTTCACACCACTGTGTATCAACCACATTTAAATCCCCTCTTTATTTTTACTACTCTTTCACTCCCTACCTGTGCTGTCTTTTCTCTCTACTTTGTCATTTTCATTCCCTTTGTATCGCCTGTCCACCCACTGCTTTCATGTTTTACTGCTATCATTTTCAATTCTCACCTGCCTCGCCCACTTTTCTGTAACAGTGAATTGGATTCTTTATTTCCATCGCTCTGCTCTGACTTTACCTATTGAATTGAATTTCTCTACATTACGCCTTCTTCATTCCACCTGCCATTATCTTGATAACCACCTATTCCCACTATGTTGCTCTCTTTCTACCCCCCTCTCCTTCTCATGCAATTTCAATCTTTTTTCCCATGTAAATCAAGTTTCTTTCTCATCATATTCTTCCCAGATTCTGAGCGGCGTGTTGCTGGAGGTGTTGTCTGAAGATTTCCCAGAGTTCTTCACTGCAGAGGTACAGATGGTGTGGACCAAACTGATGGGAGCGGTATACTGGCATGTGACAGGGGCCTACACAGAGGTGGGCTGGCTCCAGGTCTCCAGCTCAGCGGTGTGAAGAGTTTGGAGAAAGAAGGAGTTCTGGGAGGATGGTTTCACAGACATGGACAAGATTAACGTGGTAATCCGTGCAACTATGTACTTTATTTTGGTGACATTTTGGTGCTAAGCATTCATTGCTGTGGTGTTTCTACATCACACTTCCCCGAGATCACTTGGACACCAAACAATGTAGCCAGACAACATTTTACTTTTCTCTTAATGAAGTCTTAGCTAATGTAAGTGGAGCTTCAGTCTATGTTTTTAGCCACGGGCGCTTTCACTGCTAATGCTAACTATCCAGTTCTTCTACTGTTTATTCCAAAAAAAACCCACTGTTGCTACCAAAAGCATTAAACGCATCACTTCCTGTGTAGCATGGGATCATTACAGAGCTACCAAGTAGACAAGCAAGTCCAAAAGCTTTAATAAACTGCTATATTTAATTACTGCTCTGTTTCACATTCACTGACAGTTGACCCTTCACTAAGCTCCCTTAGTTACAAGGCCTGTCAAGCTTTCGAACCTAGAGTACCACATATGGAGTTCATATGGTGTCAGATTAGCCACTCATAATTGTCATTTTTAAAACAATGATTCTTTGATTTCAGACATAGGTAGGCTTTTGCCACCTGTAACAGTTGTTCAAGATTTTAGCTAAACAAGTTATTTAATAATTCTGTCTCCAACTAACACATTTAAACAAATATCCTGTATTACTGTTAGGGTTGCCACCCATCCTGTTGTATACAGTCCCTTATTGAAAAATAACATACATTGTCTCTTACTGTATCAATAAAGGATGCAATTGGTCCTGTATTTTCCTGCTCTCATGCAGATGCTACATTTTCACATGCTTTGAATGACATTTGAAATTATGAAACCAGAAGAGTTTCACGAGACACGTATTGGATCACAATTTGTGGAAGACAATGACACCCTGAATGACAACTTGTCGTCATCACCCTGGTTACAGAGAAGCTGATGTGTGTTTTTCAAAAAATGTTGGTGAATCCCTTTAGCTCAAGTCCGCCCATAAAAAGAAAGAGGCTGTTTTTCTTGTAGATATGAATGGCAGACGGTTCAGTCTTGTTAGTGGGAAGGAGTATTGTGGTGGACTGTCTGCCCTGTAGCAAGATTCTGCAAGGGACACAAATTGATGCATTAAAATTCACCAGAAAGCAGGAAATTAGTTAACACTCAAAATCTGATGGGTGAGGACCCCGAGACCTGATGCTGTCCCTTATTTCTCCACACTCAAGGTGGCAACCCTAATTACTGAATGCGCTTTTGAAGGCTACATAAGTGCTACATGTTATTCTAAAAAGCTAAAGCTGAACGTCCAAAGCAAAAAGACAGCCTCTTCACCAGCTGATCAAACATGTAGAACAGATGGCAAACAAAGAAGGACATTGTTCTTGTATTTCAGTGTAGCTATTTAGTATTGGTGGTGGTACAATATGATATGGAAAATGTTGATAAAAATATTGTATTATAGCATCATAGTATCCTTCAGGACTGGCCCCAGTGCTGTGGGTAATACTAACCACACAATGGATGTGTCGGCCCTGACTAAGTTAGTTAATTATATACTGCGTGGTCTTGAAAGTGACGCTGGGGTAGGTTATTACCATATGTAGTTAACTACTTAGCCAGACGTGCTAACATTTGCAGCTTTGGTTAGAGCAGACAGACACACTGGTAAGATACTGAGGTCCCTCCAAGCATTGTATATATTGCTCTTACTGCAGCTTCTTTCACACTGCTTTTGCATGTGGAGAAATCCAAAGCTTGACAGGCCTGCTGTGCCTAGTTACAGATAATCTAAAGTAATGTTGGACAATCACTGTTCAGGGTAGGGTTTTAGTGAAGGGTCAGCTGCAGATGGCAGAATTTATTTGTATGAAAATGTTGCGGATTATTACTTTACAGAGTTCATTTCTGTGGAAACCTGCAGTGAGAGAAGCATCTTCCGGCTATGCCGCACAAATGTATACACCTCATGATATTCTGAAAGGGAGATTAAGAAATGTGTAGACAAGAAATGATTTTTAAGCTCTGAGAGGGGGGCAGTTAGTTGTTGAAGCCCTGGCTATGGGACCATGGAGCTGCTGACTGTTAATAGATTCTCTTTGTGTCCTACTACAGTATGTTTAGGGGACCTGCGCCCCTTTCTTTCTCTATTGATGCATTGCGTGCTCTTAATGTCTTGTTTAACTTTACAGAGGTGTTGTTTGTATAAGTGTACAGTGGGCAAGTGTGCATACTCTTCTGCCTTTGTTTACAACTCATTGACACGTTGATCTGTTGACGTGTTAAAGAGGGCTGTTTTTTCTTTGCTAAAAGTCTTGGACTCGCAGCAATGCTTTAAGTTTTTTATTTGCCTATCACTTTCATTACACAACATTGTGAAAGTGTGATGGAAAATATCAGACTGTGGACACAATCAGCAACCACACATGTACACATCCGCACACAGGCATGCTATAAGACCTTTCCTATGCTAATATTTACAGGACTGTCCATTAGTTTACCTCTTCAAAACCCCGTCAGAGAGACACGCTGCATTAAAGGCTCCATTAAGGGCTTTAGAAAGTCACTCTGGAGGTCTGCGAAAAAAACATGTCAGCTTTAGAAGTGCCATGAATCTGTCTCTGACCAATCTAACAAAGTTTAATCTTTCCTCACAGTTTCACAGTCTCTTAACTCATATTCAGACATCATATTCAGACATCCTATTCATGGTGATCTAACCCCTCCTCAAACACACTGCATACTGTCAGACTACCTTTCTTTACCTTACTTAACCTCATCGTCGTGTCACCACAAGTCTTTGGACTGCATGTACTCCTGTAAGCAGTCCCCATCTGCGAGTCTCTCTCTAGTCAATTCCCAAACAAACATAGATGGCAAATCTGTTTAGGATGGACATTTGATCCAATCTTCAGTTTGCATCTGCTCCAGTGACGTCCTGCATCTGCCATCAGACCACCCTTGGCATCGGCATCTGGCATTAATGAGGAAGTAATGAGTCTCCTCTCCTCCTCATTTGGTCATTCATCTACTGTAACTTCCCATTGCCTTCGTAAGAACCACCTCACCGGGAACAAAAACAATTATGACTGGACAGATGGTCCTAAACCCACCATGCTGTGTCAGCTATTCACAATAATGCTTTAAAAAATGTCTTTCATTCACTTGCAGGAAAATCATTTTGTTGATTTATTGATGTTTCTCATTCATTTCTGCTGTACAAATTTAACATGCAAGTTAAACCTATTTTCACACAAAAACACAAGGCAATGACTAGATTCCAGCAATCATTGCAATGCAGCAATTAAAATGCTATTAGATATCTGTGTTTGACAAGTTAAAAACATTTGCTGGTCTGTTCAACTTTAGTTTCATTCCACGTTTTCCCCTGGTCGTACGTGTTCCCCTTGTAATGGCTCTGTGCCCTCCCCTGGTTTGAGAACCACTGCCTTAGACAGACTCGTCAATAAGTGTGTTTTCAAGTGTGTTTGTATATGCAAATAAAAAAAAGCTGTGTGGCAAAAACTAAAATGTAAAAACATGTTAACATATGGCAAAATCAGTAGCGTATCAGTAAAAGCAAAATGCAATGGAAACAGACTTAGCAAATACACTCTCTAATCTGTGATCTTGAGATAACAGAATTAAAACAATAATTGAAACAATTAAAACACCACAGCCACTCATAGCTTCAGTATCTGTAAAAAAAACGGTTATTTACATCCTGTGCAGAAATTCTCTAAGAGCTCTCATTAAACGAGCTCCTTTTCAAGTTGAACTGGAGAGTCGTAAGCCTATGTCACACAGTGATAAGTCAGTCAGGTGGATAAAAATACACACAACAGTCAAACAAACCTCAAGGTAAACTATTTCCACTTTGGCTCAAATAGCTCTGGAGGCTGTAAAGCTGCTGTCAGTCATAAATGCTCCGGTTCAAAATACACACCGGTTCTATTCTTTGCCCGACTTCTGACGTCAGCGCCCCTCTGAGGTCAGACTTCAAGTATCTTGAGGTTCAGGAATATTTTTGTTAAGGGGAATTCCCCTGACATCTTGTTTATTAAACATTGTGTGGTGTGAATCCCATCTGCAAACACACACACACACACACACACACACACACACACACACACACACACACACACACACAATGTACTGATGGAGATGTACTGTTGCACATGCTAAGCTGCAGGCTTTGTGTCCCTATTCGTCTATATGAAGCACGTTCCTCATCACACTATAAACACACACTTGCACGTACAATTATGTGCAAACACATCCCAATTACTCTTGCTCACTTGCTTTCTTTATCACTTTTCTCACTCACAAACACATGGTCTTGCATTAAATTGTCCTGAGTCGGGCATGTCCTTGCATGCCAAGTGTACTACAGCAGCACTTAATCCAATATATATTTTTATTTAATCTGAAAATTAGACAAATATTCCCATGTTCATTAATTCATTTCATACATTTGTTCTCTGTCAGCAAATAAGGGCATCACAGCATATGTGGAACTATGTGTTTTTGTTGTGAAATGTTTCTGTCTATCAGTTAAAAAGTTAGGACTTTATATTTTTCTAAATATATCTATGAGAAGGAATCTATGTATTTGAATACTGTATATGAATATGTCATTGTATACTGCGTTGTTGGTGGGAGAGAGTGCAGTGGCTTTGTAGTGTTTTGAGCATGTTTGCACAGCCTACAACAGGCTTGTACCTTCGCAGACCTGGTGAAAATGAATCATGACCATCAATAAAATATACTTGTAAATTTGTCTCTGTCCAATGAGGGCTTTTGTAAAAAAAAAAAAAAAAAAACAAAAAAGAGTACATTAGATTTAACAACCGAGATGTGACTTCTAGCTTCTTGTAATGTTTTCACAACATATAACCAACAAGCAGGGGTGGGGAGGGGGGCTTCTGGGGCTCCAGCCCCAAATGTTTTCAGTAAAGCTCTGAATCTTTTAGGCTTTTAAAATAACCTCAACTGCGTGTCATTTCTCTTTAGTCTCTCTGACTGGACTGGACCTGCGTTCTGTTAATGGGTAGATATCACCATCTTTTATAGTATTATTGCAAATGGATTCACATGTATCGGATTTGTCAACTTAACATTAGTCCTATGAACTCTGCTCCAACATAGTTTAATTAGGTTTTAAATAGGTTTCAAGATTAGTAATGCTAATGCTAAATTGGTCATCCTTAACATTTGTTGTGTTATAGTTTCAGAATGATGAAGACAGTTAGATACAAAATAGTATATAGGCTCTAGAGGATGATTTGTTTTCCTGGGCAACTATCATGTTTTTCCTAAATGATGTACAGACCTTCAGGTATACTCTTATATAAAATGGCATAAAAAACAGTGCATATAGACCCCCCGTAGGTTTGGCTAAGCCCAAAAGCTTACAGCGTCTGGCTCCACCACTGCAAACAAGTACAATATGACTTTGTTTCAACGTCGAGGTTAAAATGAATCAGAAATATCACTGGCGAAATTATGTTATATTAAGTCCATGCAAAGGCAATTGGCTGCTCCGACTGCCAGTCCATGATCACTAGAAGAGGTTACATCCAGGTTACATCACCTGGAAAAAAAATTGTTTGCATTTAAACATTTTACTTTTTATCTCGAGGGACTGCCACTGAGGGCAAGAGTAGAATAAAAGTCAACTCCTCACACTGAAATTTCAGGTTAAAATTAGTTAATGTGTTTCTATCTTTGAGAACAGTAAAGGGATTAAAACATATATACATACATACGCCAGAAATAAGGATCAGTCTAAAGTTATAACGTGAAAGGTTTATTGTTATAACACTATGTTTGTCACATTTCTTCCTCCTTTCCTCCTTTTATTTTGTGATCTCTCTTTTTCTGCCCAAAGTTGTATTTTTTTGGACCTCTTTACCAGGTATCACAAGCGAGAGTGCAACTAAACAAACCGTCTCCATGGTGACTGTTTACTGCTGTAAAATCTGTTTCAGTACCGTAAATGCCTTGCATGAGAAAACCCCTTAAATAAGTCCCTCAGCTCAGGAGAAATTACACCGTAAGTGTCATAGTTAAGGAGACTTATTTAAGTTAAGGTGCTTTGTGCAACTGGCCCCAAATTGTCAAAACTCACTCGAACAGTCCTGTAACTTCACCACTCTGTACATTACTCCGTGACTTGAATCGTGGAGTCACAAAGTGCTCAAATCACAGACAGAACAAAGAAACACCAAACTATTTAAACCTAAAGATCTAGGCCTGTCGTCTTAAACAGCATACATGGTAAAAAGGCATTAAAGCAAAATAAAAAATGGAAAAAGTGAAACCCAGAAATTAATACTGCTTTGGACTTTGGCAGCAGAAAATAAGGAAAATGTGTTCTTTTTGTTAAAATGATTTTGCTCTTCGAGGACAAAAGCATGTGTATTTCCAGTCTAATCCTGGTTGATATTAATATATGTATTTCAATCTCCTCAGCCAAAGGTGACTCTGACCCAGATAACCCAACGCTGCATATTTCTCCTGCAGGTAGTCAGTGCAGATACCCTACTTGGCAGTCCCAGTGTTTCAGGAACAAGAGATAATTAAATGGAATGAGATGTAAATGTTCTTAATCAATGATTAATGGCTGCCTGTTCGCTGCTTGACGCTCCAGGCGAGACTCTATCTAAGGCTCCAGTGGGAGGTTCATGCAGGGAGGAAGACACTAATTCTTCAAATCTATATAGTAATTTATTCAAACCGTACATCTTATCATCAAAGAAGACTTTGTTTTATCTGGTTCCTGAATGCAAGGAAGTGATTAAGAGTTTTTAATATTCTTCTTTTATAAGAGGATTTCATACATGCTGTCTGTCAGAGTAATTATGATTTCAGCATTTTGCACACTAAGTTACTGTGTAATGGTTGTAATGTTGTTATGGTTGTAATGGTTGGGTTAAAAATGTATGGCCCAGGAATCAATATAATATTCAGGAAATCAATTGTACCTTCTTGCTGCCTGGCTTGAGCAATAGGAATAGGTGAAGCAGGTAAACACCATGAGAGTCAGAAAATAGAGTCATTCTCCCCTGAGTGTCTCCATCGTGCACAGTGTGGTCGATAGGACACTGACTTGTCACCATGGCGACACATTTTCCCAGTGCCAGATATTGTCAGTTCCGTAGAGCGCTGACAACATGGGCTCATCACATCGCATGCAATTGATACCCAAACACACCTGGACAAACTCTATTTTACTCTTTGAAAACACACAGAGGCTAATAATAGGTTCGCTTTTAGAAGCACAACAGACTCTGTTACTCAGAAGCTAAAAATGCGAGGGAGAAATATCTTGAAATATCACCTGACATTTATCATTTAATCAAGTGTGCATGCAGACACACTCACGCCTTTGTCAGCAGGTAATTAATGCTGATTAACCAGTCAATTTGAATATAAATTGACAAAGGAGTTTAATTTGGTAAGAAATATATTAATAACGTAATGATTTCCCATAAGATACGCCCCAAATCCCCAGGAAGAGCGCCAGGATTCATTTGAGTATCAAAGTCAGTGTGATTCATTCTCCGGGGACCTTGAATGTTTATACTAAATTTCAAACCTTAGAGTCATACCATCAGCATGGCTAAAAATGAGTGCATGCAGGATAAAACTAGCATACAGAATTTAATAGCAGTCTACAGTAGCACACATCGTCCCTTTGTTAAACAATTTGATCATAAGTCCTGACATTTAGGAAAGCTAACTGCCACACTAAATCCCCTAATTCTTTAAATCAAACAAGCCCAGAGCACGGTTAAGCCAGCCAGCCCATGCAGGTCAACACAAATAACAGCTCTGTGACACTGAAACCCCCTGATGTTTAGGCATTGGTGAGTCTGTGCAGCTCTCCATCAACACAAAGCTTGAAAGGAGGCCTGGAGAATTTTCCAATTAGGCGGCATGAGCCCGTCTCAAAGCAGCAGATGAGATGCACAGCCACATCGCTGCAACTTGACATTCCTGACAGCCACTTGTGTGAACTTCCATCTGTCTGCCGTCCATGCACCAGAGGTTTCATGACAGAGCGGTGACAGTCACAGATGCCGTTGTGGGGAATGTCATCGCTGGCTTAAGAATATCTACGTCCTGCTGTCTGCAAGAAATATAACTTCAGCCTAATGAGACAGAGAATGGGGAGGCTTAGGATTTGATTTGTGAGTGCATTTAGAGCCATCCTCTGTCTTGGAGCCATCCTCATTATGTTGCCAGGTTGTTGTTGTTGTTGTTGTTGTTTTCTATTTAACAATGGCCATCATGCACTAGTATCTGAGTGTAATACAGCTTTTAATGTGGCATAAAATGCTACAGCAGCTAATCCTCAATCACACATACATTGTCAAGGAGCATATGAACAGCACCTGAACAATTCATGCTGCCTAGACACTGTTTTTTGAGAAATCCTTTCCCAGGACATTATCCAGGAGATTTTTTTTGACAATACACGACAGCACTTGCTCACAAACGTACATTTAATTTACTAGTTGACCTAGTGTCGACACATTAACCCCAGTTTCATTCCTCCTTCTTTAATGATGCAGGATTCATGATGAAGTATCCCAATCCAATTAAATTTGGATTAGACTTGGAGGACACTGGACTGGTAATTATGATAACTACAATATGAACATGAACTTAAAGCATAAGGCTAAGTAACCTGCAGCTGCAGGTAGAGCTGACTAGTACATATAATACTTGGTGGATGATTAGGGGGATGAGGGGCAGGTGTACAGGCAGGTGACTCGGGAACAGTAGGGAAACCTTGGGAGAACTGCTGGGCGGTGAAGGCATGACAAGGTCCGGCTTAACAGGAAGATGTGGTACATGGCTGAAAAAGATGCAAAGCAATCCGTCAAAAAAGCCTGGTGCTTTTCATTGGAGATTACGCAGTACATATCTGAATCATGCACAATAAGTGCACACACATCACAACGAAGCTTAGGTGTGCAGCGATGCTGTGCCTCAGTAATGCACCATGTCATCTTTTCTAATCTGGGTTTGACTAATCCCCCAATGTTCCTGATCCAGCCAGGCAGGCTGAGAGAGGGAGAGACAAACAGGTCTCCTCGGCTGTGGTGAGTGGATTCACTATGGATGGTTAATTTGGACCCCGCGGTCTCTTTGGCTGCAGGGTGGTGGGCTCTGGAGATCATGTGCACCACTATCATGGTTCTCTCCACTCTGGCTCTAGTACTGCGCCAGCATTTCAACAGCCGAGTCAAGACGTAAGTTGTTGTTTTTATGAACTTTTATTTAAGCATGCCTGGGTTTAATAATTCATTATCCTTTTTTGGTGCTGCCATGTAATTTTATTTAGTTTCATACAGTTAAACAACATCTAAATATGAATTAGTTCCATTAATGTAACACTTTACAAAAGAGCTGTAGACTGGAGACTTGACTGCCTGAATGAATACATGACCTACTCTCAATTAAGACTCAAAACACTGCTACAGTTTTGAACCAGTAGAATATTTACAATAAAACCTTTTAATTAACTATTCATGCTTCCAGTCACTGTTGAAATATGTACTGGAGGTTATTAAACTTGCAATTTGTTGCCCAAATTTTATAAAAAGTCCAAATTTAGAACTCCTCCCCTCTATGAATGTTTTTGCAAATAAATCACAAAATCTGCTCTCTTGCTCTGTGACTGTGGAGGTGAATGCTACATTTATGTAATATTTTGCCTAAAAACTCTGAAATACTGTCAATACCATCAATACCTGTGTAATATGTGTG